CAGTCAGATGAGGAGGGTTTGGGCAGGGACAGTCTGTGGGACCCCAGGGACTCGCCAGCCCCTCTGCTCCCCAGCCTGGTTTCAGATTTCCTACCTCTGTGTTTTATCAGCGGCTGTTTATGGGCCTTGGGATGACAGGCTCCCCATGTGTGTGCCCTGCCTAATTCTAGCCATGTGCTGGGAAAAAGAAAAAGGGCTCTGTGATGATAATCTGGCCTGTGAGTAAAGGCGGTGTCATGGGAGCCGAGGGACCCCAGAGGAGAGATGTTGCAACTCCGGACAGTTCCAGCCAAGGGGAAAAAAAAAACCAACCCGCTCAGTTTTATTTAGATTAAAGGGTGGGAAAGAAGCAGTCGCAGAGGCTGGGGGGAGGGTGGCAGAGGAAAACAGGACAAGCCAAGAAGTTTCGCTGCTGGACTAGCAAGGCTTGGGTTTCAAGGGTCACCAGCCTTTGCTCGGGGAGCTTTTTGCTTTCAAAGTCAGGGGCTGATGCCACCCAGACCAGGAGAAGCCCCCGGTCCCTGGCTGCAGCCCCATTGACCAGGGGAGCTGTAAGGGGCTTCTTTTATTGCGTATGGGCACCCATGATCTCACTTAATGACTCAGATGCTCTCAGACAAAGGAGAAATCAAGTATATTTTACTTGTCACTAATTTGCACCAGATGTCCCTGGCCTGCTTGGCAGGCTGGTGGGGCCAGCAGGCATTGTGGGAGCGCCTGGAAGCGCGGCCCCAGCGAGACCAGGGGCTAGAAATAGAAAGCCAGAGGGAGGGCGAAAGGCTCAGTGGCTGTGTGAGAGGCCTGGCTTTGCTTCTCCACTCCTTCCTTCACCAGGGTCCAGCTGCTGCCAGCAGAGATGCCCTCATGGGCCAGGCTGGTGGCCAGCACCTCTGCCTGGCATCGCCAGAGTGGGGAGGCTTGGGCAAGGGCGGTATGGGTGGAGCAGAAGAGCAATGTGCAGCAGTGGATGCAGGAATTGCCCCTGGAAAAGAAACTGGGATTTGCTGAGAGGGGCTGTACACCTCAATTTCCAGCTTACAGCACATCCCTTTGCTGGTGATCCACGGTCTGTAGGGACCAGAGCTCCTGCCATGGCTGCTTTCCCCCTCCCTGGCATGCTGAACCATCCCCTTCCTTGTGCACCAGCTTTGCAGGCTGGTTCCCAGCTCCCACAGCTCTGGGGGTGCTTGCAGGACCCCCATACTGGTTCTCCACAGAGCATTAGTGGTTGTGGAGGAAAGGTGAGAAATGTGGTGCAGGCATGCAGGGGAGGAGGGCGATGGATCAGCAGGGTCTCCTTGGTGTGGGTGCCCATCTGTGCAGGTCCCCTGTGGTTTAAGGCAGTTGCAGGGCCAGAAACAGCCCTGTCCCACACGGTCTGTGCTTGGGGCTGGGCAGTGCTGTGTCATGCTCATGCCAGCAGTGCCTGCCACGCGTGCTGAGATGTTCTGCCATGAGCACTGCACTGGACACGTGCTGGGAGCAGAAGTGCAGAGAGAAGAGGCTCCGAGGTGTCAACGGAAATTCTTGCCTTGCTACCCAAGAACAGTCAAGACTGAGCCCACAGGAGGTATCTTGGCCATTAGCAAGGGCCTCTTAGGCTTGTTAACATCCTTAACCAAGAGATAGGCCTGGAGTGGGGGAACAGCAATGAATCAATGAGGTTTGGTGGTGCTTTGAGCTCCTTAGCAAGGCACTGTGAGGATGGCCCTCCCTAAATAAAGATGAGGCCATGTTCAGCAGAAGCTGGATGCAGCTCCTTGGTGTACCCAAATCCCTGGGCATAGCCCTGCTCCCACTGCAGAAATTCCTGTCCAAATTAATCAGACTCAGAGGCATCAGCCCCCAGCTGCCACTCAAAACCCCCCAGACACCCTCGGCCACACGGTGCCCAGCTCCTGCCCTCGCTGGGTGGCAGCGTGGGGATGAGAAGGGAGGTTTGAGCTTGGGGAGCCGTCCTCCCCCACGATGCTCAGCACAGCTCCAGTGTCACCCCAGGGACCCGAGTGCCTGGGAGAGCACAGCCAGCCCCCGGGTACGTGAGGCTGAGCGGGGGCTGCATCGCCCCCCCAGCCAGCTGACCTCTCGACTCCTCTCCCAGCCAAATTCCTCTTCTGGAATAATAAACAGTGGAGCAAGAGAAAAGCTGCCTGCCCTGCCGGGACAGGGACAGCTTGCCCTCACACCACGTTGCTGCAGAGGCAGAGGGAAGGTCTGTCGCCGTGCTGGCAGGGGGGGAGGATGGTGAGAGGTGTAACGCAGGGATGGAGAGCTGGGCTCCACCCAGCTGGGCTGCAGGGTGGGAGGCTGCTGGAGCTGTGGGGCTGGCTGGAGGGCACGGGACACGGCTTGGCTGCAGGACCTCCCTGGCCTCCAGGCATGTGCCAGGATACATGGAGCCAAGTGGTCCCATGGCTGGAAAATGGACAGGTCCTGGCACATGGGAAGGGTGGAGGAGTCTGAGGGGTCCGTGGCACCCTGCTCACCCCAAGGGCTTGGAGGATACAATGCCAGGCTGCTGAGCATTTTATAGAGCCTGTGTTTGGGTCCCTGGGTGAGATAACGTCTGGGTGCCTGCTTTTGGATCAGAGTGGGGCTGCACCCACCTCAGCTCCTCCTTGTCTGGCACTCACAGAGTGCATCTCATTGCTCTTGCTGAGAACAAAAGCTGAGATTGAGGAGGGAAACAAGTGCTCTCAAGGCTGGCAGTGAGCTGGGCGAATTTCCATGCCTTGTGGAACGCCTGCGTGCGCCCACATGTGCAAGCACACATCTCCGTGACGGGGAGAAAGGTTTGTCCTCCTAGCCAGGCTCTGCATGCATCCTGCAGGACAGGCAGAGCTCAGCATCTCCGAGTGAGCCTCTTGCCCTGGCCAGAGCAGGCAAGGGAGAGGTCACCTCTTTTTGCGAGATGTTGCCACCCGCCCACTCTGCTTGGGAAGCATCTCCAGGAGAAATGCCTTTCTGCAAAACCAGCAGCTTTATTGAAACCAGCTCGGAACGCAGGGAGGGGAGGCGGCCAGAGGCTCAGGCGGAGGCTGCAGGGCTCAGTGCTGGCTGAAGCACCACCCGTGCTCACCCAGCCCAGCTTGCACCCGCCAGCCACAGCCTGCCCCATCTGTGATCCTGCAGAGATCGCTGGGGGAGCAAGGGACCTGCCTGTGTGGGCAGAGGAGCCCAAAATCTCGCCTGCAACAGCACTAACAGTAACAGCCACGGAGCTGAACAGGCAGCTAAAAGCTGGGTTTGAGCTTGGGAAGACCTTAGCTGCTGGTAGGCAGATATTTGGAGGGGTGGGGGTGGGGAGTGATGACCCAGGAATACAGCCTGGCTTGTGCATGCAGGCAAGGAGGGGTGAAAGAAGAGGATCCCAGTTGTCCTTACAACCTTGAACATTGAATAATGGATGAATCACACACCTCTGTAAAGGCGAACTGGGAAACAAAGCTAATTGTTCTCATGGCAGTGCCTTAGGGGGCAGCCAGATTAGGTTGTCCATCTTCCTTTCTCCTGCAGGTTGGTGCTCTCTGAGGGTGGGTGCAGTGAGGTCACATTCATTTACAGCCTGAATTTCACCTCGGTCCTTTCATCCTACCCACCCCCAGCTCGTCCTGTAAGCCCTCTCATCCCCTCTGGCAAATGCAGAAAGAGAAGTCACCGAGGGGCTTTCTGGAGGGGGGAGTGGGATGCTGCTGAATAAGCTGGAGACCTGGAAGGATTTGCTGGGAGATCAGACTTTTGTTGAGCCAAAGCAAGAGAATAATAAAAACATCTGACAAGAGCACGTCATTTAAAAACCATTTCCTCCTTAACTTCAAGCAGACCAAGAGGCCACGCCAGGGCCAAGAGGCAGCAGAGCTGCTCGGTGAGGGACGGTGCCTGAGGCCATGCCAGCAAGCCCAGAGTGCCACTAGCCACCCTTATGCTTGGCCAGCAGCTCCCCAGAGCACTGTTCCAGCATCACAGGGGATTCTCCTTGGGGTCTGCCATGGGAGAAGGTTCAAAATGCCTCTGGAGCTGGGAGAGGAGAGGTGGCCCAGCAGCAGGGCAGAGCTCAGCCCTGGGCTGCAGTCTGACTGAGCCATCGAGTTCAGCTCCATCCAGAAGCATCCCCAAGTTCAGGAGCACTGAAGTCATATCCCCCCAGCTCTGTCCAGGCACAGGGGAAGGTCTTCCCCTTACTCTTCCCCTTGATAGCTTCTTCATTTTGCTTTTCCAAAATCCTGATGCTCACCCCTGAAGGTGAGGTGAGGAGAGTTACCTGTCACCCCATTCCCTGGAGAACAGGTTCCACTGCTCCCAGGGACCTCTGGCCTTGTCTCTTCTGGGCTCCCAGTTTGCACCAGGGAGGGCTGAAAAAGTTCCGTGGAAAAGATTTAGTGAGAAATGTTGATAAAAGGGATTTTTATCTAAAAAGCCTTCTTAAATATTCTCTTAAAATAAATAACGTAAATACAAGAAACTCTTTTTTTCTTTTTTCTTTTTTTTTTTTTTTTTGTGGGGTTTCTTTGGGCTTGTTGTATTCCATTGGAAGGAGCAGCAGACGTGGGAGGGCTGGAGAGGGATCTGTTTTCTACCAAGTTTTATCTCACTAGGACTGAAGGAAGCAAAAACTAAGGGAAAAAAAGGCAAGTGGTGGAGCAGAGGGAGGAGGGCAGGGCTCTGCAGTGGGGGGAGTGGCATTTCGAGCACAGATGAGCAAGAGTTGACACAATTGCTGGAGCTTCCAGCAAAATCCCTGTTTACCAGCAGGAGATGCCTTAGAAACAGTTCTTTCTGCAGGTCCAAGTTGAGGGGGAACCCACCACCCCACCAGGAAGGAAAGGCTGAAAATTTAAAAGAGATGGGAGGTTTCTGAGGTGGAGAAGGAAGCCCAGGGCTTGGGTGGGGGCTTGGGGACCCCCATGCCTGGTGCAGTTGAGGGACTCCTCCACCAGCAGCACTGCACTCATCCTGTTTTGTTCTTGGCAGGATTTGGCCACCAAGCCATGGAGCCCACCATGCTGCACCCTTCTCTGAAGGCATCTCTCTGGCTCCTCATCCTCACTGGTGAGTGCTGTGGCTGGGGAGGTGTGTGCAGGATTGGGCCCTCTGTGGGCGTGCAATGCTGTGGGCAGGCACAGGGGTGCACAGCACGCTCCAGGCACATCTGTCCCTCCCAATGACTCGGGTCCGTGGGCTCATGCCAACCCAATCCTGCAGCAGGGTGGATGTAAAGTCCCAACTTGCTCCATGCCCGTGCCCAGCTGGGTGGAAGGAGGAGACCTTTGCAGAGGGACAGCTGCAAAGGTCTCCTCCTGCACTCAGCCCTTAGCAGACACCCAAGAACTCACACTGGCTGGGCATTATGGACACCCCCACAGCAGGAAGGATTCAGTCAGACTCCCCCACAGCAAGGCAACGGGACATCTGGCTGCATCTGAGAGGCTGTTGACAGCACTGCTGTGAGCCCCTGGGGGCTGTCCCCAGCTGCCCTGCCCACCCGTGGGGACACCAGGGAGCAGCACATGTCCCAGCCCCACTGGGACATCTGGGCAAAGCAAGGAACCCGAGAGAGACACAGGGAGCCATTCAGGAAGAGCTTGCCTGCTCTATTGCTTCCAAAGGATTTCCTGCAAGGTTTTGCTTTCATGCCTTTTCCATTTTCTTGCAAGCTGCCGTTGTTTCAGCCTGGTCTGTGTCCCATCTGACAGTGTCTGGGTGGGGAGGCAGCCAGCAGAGCAGGGAATTGCCCCATCTCCTCCTCTCCCCTCTGCCCACTAAATGCACAGCCTTTCCAAGTCTTTGGAAAGGGAAAAAACCTGCCTCTGCCCTCACAGAGACAGGCTCATCTTGGGGGGCAGCAGTACCATCTCTACTGCCAGCTCCCCGGAGTCATCTGAACCAGCTTAGAGGATGCATAAAAGCCACGGGTGTGAGCTAATACATGAGGGAGGCCCAGGTCACCCCCATTTCCAGTCCTACTCTCACCAAGGATGTCCCTTGGGCTGGTGCAACAGCATCACGGCATGGCAGCCTCCCAGCACAGCTTTGCTCACACCCAGAGTTTCAGAGGCTGCCCCAAGTCCCTCCTGAGCCAGCCTGATGACACTGGGCAGCACTGGGTGGCACCGAGGGTGCAGTTGCCTCGCAGAAAGGTTGGACAGGGGCACACATAGTTAAGGCATAAAATGGGAGGTTCTCCACCCCAGCATTGCCACAGACAACATGGGCAACTTTGAACGTGGCTAAATCCCCTGGTGTCTTATTTCCTCTCCAGTAAGGGTTTCAAGAGGTACAGGGAATGAAGGGGGATCCATCAAAGTCTAGGCTGACAGGACACTTCTGAGGAGAGCACGTGGTGGCCATGCCAAGGAGGACAAATCCAGGAAGGTTATTTTTCAACGTAAAAGCTAAAACAACAAACCAAATACATTGGCCTGAGGTTGTACTCCCTGGATTTCAGAGGAATCCCGTTTGGTCTCATCTTCCTGCTCCCCCAGGTCTGCTGGAGGTAACGTTCGGGGGCAGTGGGCTGCACATCGAGCCCCGAGATGCCGAGCTTGTCCTCGACCTTCACAGCACCTTCTCCCTCTTGTGCTATGGGGATGGGAAGCTGGTCTGGGAACGGGAGGGTCAGCCCCTCGCCGCCTCGCTGGAGCACAGAGATGGTGTCTTCATCAGCAACCTCACCCTCAGCAACGTGACAGGCCGACACACCGGGGAGTACGCCTGCACCTACGGCCCCGAGGCTCCAGAGCCACCCGAGAGGAAAGCCCTGTACATCTACGTCCCAGGTAGGGGACAGCGTGTCCTCGTCTCCGTGTTTCCGTGGGGTTTAGCAGGCAGGAGAAAGAGGGCTTTGCATTATCATCTTGTCTCCAAGCACACAGCAGCCCCAGAGCCTTCCTCCCATTGCAGGAGAGTCCTTCGGGCAGGTCATCTGGGTGTGGCATGTCCCTGGTATGGCAGGTCATGGAGAGGCCCATTTGGGGTGTGTTGGGACAAGTAGAGGGGGAGGCAATGGTGCTAGATGGCAATGTCTGGGTCTCTCACCCTCCTAGGAGAGGGTGGGCAAGACCACGAAACGGCAGCTCTGCTTTGCCATGGGGAGTAAGGGAAGAAGCATCCCACCTGTCTGGAGACAGAGCCTTGCGTCAGAGCAGTCCTGGAGGGGTGCAGAGCAGCCCCAGTTCAGCTTCAAGCAGCTGCCTGTAATCAGTGTTCCCTCTCTCCCACAGATCCCTCCCTAGTCTTCCTCCCCACAATCACCTCTGAAGAGCTCTTCATCTTCATCACGGGCTATACAGAGGCCGTCATCCCATGCCGTGTGACCAACCCACAGATGCCAGTGACTCTCTATGAGAAAAAAGTGGAGAACCCCATCCCAGCTGCTTATGACCCACAACAAGGATTCAAAGGCTTCTTTGAGGACAAGACCTATTTCTGCCGGACAATTGTGGATGACCAGGAGGTGGATTCAGACACCTTCTATGTCTACAGGATCCAGGGTGAGCAGCATACCTATGCACCTGCTGTGGCTGTTCCTTCAGCCCAAAGGCAGGGGACAGCAAATCTCTCCCCCTGTCTCCAAAGTGATGCCCCTGATCAATTTGAAGGCTGGATTTAGTCCTGTCTCCACTAAAGAAAGAGTTCTGCCAAAGTGCCAGCTCCATCTCTCAGGGAAGAGACTTCCCAGTGGACCAGTCCACCCGGGATAAACGGTCTGGGTGCTTACTCATTTCCTCCTTCTCCATTTCTTCCTTTCTCTCACCTGTGTGCAGTCTCGTCTGTGAACGTGTCCATCAGCGCGGTGCAGACCGTGGTGCGCCAGGGAGAGAACGTCACCCTCATGTGCACCGTGAGCGGCAACGAGCTCGTCAACTTCAACTGGGACTACCCCCGCAAGCAGGCGAGTGCTCCAGCCCCACGGGCTCCGGGCAGCAGCTCCAGCCTTCGCCCACCTCCCATGGCAATCACTCATCAATATCCCAAGTGCAGCTTCGCAGGGAGCTTCACCCCACGGCAGAAGTGGTGGCATGAGGCTGCTGCCACACAGAGAGGCTTGGTGGGGAGATCCTTGGGTTAAGGCTGGCTGTCTCAGTGGCCTCTGACCATTGCATGTTCCCTGTCCCTGTGGCAGCCAGACTGGGGACCTCTACCCCCTGCCCCTCCCTCCCTACGAGCCTGGCTTTGAAGCTGCAATGGCAGAACGTGCTTTTGTCCTCTCTGACCGTATCTCCTGTCCCTGGTGTGCAGGCAGGGAAGGCTGTGGAGCCAGTGACTGACTTCCTGCCCGGATCCACCCACGAGATCCGCTCCATCCTCATCATCCAGAACGCAGAGCTGGAGGACAGTGGGACCTATGTCTGCAACGTCTCCGAGGGCTACCATGAGAAAACAGACCGGAAAGACATCACAGTCCATGTGATCGGTGCGTTGCTGCCCACGCGCCCAAAGCCAGCAAAGCACCTGGGCATGCAGGCAGCATACCCCAGCGTGACTCCTCTTCTCTTTGCACAGCCTCCAGCTCCCTCCCCTCCTTGCCTCTGCCCTAAGTGACCATGGCACAAAGCCAACCCCCACCCCATCTCACCCCTGCCCACTTCTTGGCTTCAAAATACCCCAAATGACTTTTCTGACCCTTTAAGACACTTGAGGGTGTGGGTAAGAGCTCTTCTACACTGTGCAGTGCAAAGGCCATGTGAGGTCATATTGTCACCTCCCATCTGCATCTGTCCTTCTTTCGTGTAATTTGGGGGAACCTGCCCCATCTCCACAAGCTAACAGCCTTTTCCCCCCATGTCACCTGCCCCAGGAGCTCCTCTGCTCCAGCGTGGCTCCACACCAGCAGTCCCCTCGGGCACAAGTCTGAAGTTTCAGGGGTGGATCTGGAGCTGCCCCACCACTTCTGGGTGTTCAGAGAGTTTTGCTCCAGATCCCTGTTTGTCCAAAGGGCTGGAGAAGGGGTTGTTTCTGATCCCGTTATCCCTCCTGACCCTTCCCAGAGCGTGGCTTTGTGCGCTTCCACACCCACCTGACCAGCACGGTGTACGCCGAGGTCCACAAGAGCCACACCATCCAGGTGGAGCTGGAGGCCTACCCACAACCCAACATCGTGTGGCTGAAGAACAACAAGACACTGACGATGGAGAGCAACAGCGAGTTCACCATCACCAGCAGGAACCTGTCAGAAACCAGGTGAGGGCCCGTCCTTCCTCACCAGGGTGCAGGGAGGGGATAACTCACAAAACAACCTCCAAACCGCTGATTGGACATGGTTGGTGGTTGAATGACTTTTTGTGAGTGAACCTCAAGCATGCCATAAGTGGGTGGGAGCTGGTTGCCTCTGAGCATTGCCAGTTCCCAGGCACCGTCCCACACCCATCACTCTGGGCCTGGGTCTCCTCCAGGTACCAGACAGCTCTGGTGCTGGTGCGGGTGAAGCAGGAAGAAGGAGGATTTTACACCATCCGAGCTTCCAATGAGGATGATGAGCAGGAGCTGTCCTTCCATCTGCAGATAAATGGTGAGCAGGGGCGTGCAGAGGTGGGGTTGAGGAGTGTGGGGGTGGTCTCAGGGAATTACTCCGTCCTTTACCAGAGGAGGCTGAAGCCCTTACTCCTCTGACTACAACTCCAGAGTGGCTTTGATTAAGAGAGGAACATTCAAGCAGAAAACATGCTCATTTGAAATATCTCACACTTGGTCTCAGAGAGGCACTGCAGACACCAGCAGCTTGGCCTCCATGCCTGGGCATGAAGATAGTAGATGCAGAGATGATTGTGCAGCTCCAATGTCCAAGACTTTACCCTGTGTTTGCCTGTGCTCTCCAAGCAAGCCAGATAGGGGCAGGTCTCCTCCATCACATGCTCAAACCTTTCCCTTTTTGCTGTTACCTTAACACAACTGGTGTGAAGAGTCCTACCTCACTGTCTTCTTATCCCCAGGCCATGTTAGGGGTACAGTGGAATCACATTCCCCTTCCACCCTTCAGTCAGAAAGCAGGATTCATCCTCACCATTGTCTCTTGTTTTCAGTGCCAGCCAAAGTGGTGGATCTGAAGGAGAACAGCAGTGCCAGCAGTGGGGAGCAGACGGTGACATGCTCTGCTGAAGGCATGCCCCAGCCAGAGATCAGCTGGTCTGCTTGCAGCGACATCAAATGGTACGTGGAGTGCTGCAGCCCAGGGCAGCAGCTGAACTCCCTCACTTATCCCAAAGGTAGACTATGCCTTAAGTGTCAGGAAGCGTTCCTTCCTGCTGGCCCGCCTGGCTGGGGCATCCCGCGGTGGCACGTGGCACCGGCTGCCTCTCAGGTGCCTTTTCCCCCCTCTGGCCCAGGTGCAGCAGCAAGGGGCAGCCCACCCGGCTGCTGGGGAACGAGTCAGCGGAGATGGCCCTGCAGAGCAACGCCACGTACCGCCCCGAGCTGCGCGTCTTCCGCGTCACCAGCACCCTCCAGCTGCACAGGGTGGACGAGCCCCTGCTCCTGAGGTGCACCGTCCAAAACTTCCTGGGCACTAACTCCCAGGACATCACGCTGGTCCCGCACGGTGAGCGCTGAGGGAAGGTTTGAGTGGCAGGGGACTTGACTTTTCTCTCCAGGCTGAAGGTGCTGGGGGACAGGACAGTCCTCTGATGACTGCAGTCCTCGGTGGCAGGAAACCTGGGCACTTCTGCCCAAAATGAAGCCTCCCTTGGGTTGAGCAGGAAAGGCAGCAGTCTGGAGCCTTTATGTCCACTGGCCATGGACAAACTCTTCATGCCATTGGCAGGGTCATTCCTTCAGGAAGGCGAGATGAAAGTGTCTCAGCGTGTCCCCAGTGTCTTGTCATTAGCCCAGGGGTCACTAGATGGTGCCACGGACTCTAACATCCATGAGCTGAGCATCCCAGAGGTGAGGAAGGATGGGCTATGCCCAGGTCTGGAGCTGCCAGCTCTCCCCCAAGCAAGCCAGCTCCTCTAGCTCCTTACACTCTTGCATGGTCAATTGTCTCCCAAGACAGCAAGCCCTTCAACAGGCTATAACAAACCATCAGCCCATTATTCCTGGGGTGCTGGTCCTGCAAGTGCTGGGCAGGTCTGCCAAGGAGGAGAGGACAGGGACTGCTGCCCCCCGCCCCCCAGAGGAGAGCCCAGGGTCTGTGTTTGGGGAGGGAGGGGCACAATGGCTGGAGGAGGGAAGGGCAAGGGGGCAGGGACCCAAGGTACTCAGGCCATGCAGAGATGGAGGAGTCTGACTGCTGTCCCTGTTATCGTTGTAGCCTTGCCATTCAAGGTGGTCATCATCTCTGTCATCCTGGCCTTGCTGGTCCTCACTGTCATCTCCCTGATCATCCTGATCGTCCTGTGGCAGAAGGTAAAAGAGAAGAGTGTTTCCAGGCTGCCACAGTTGTACCCCCATGTTAGGGTGGCTGGGAAGAGTGAAGCTCCTGCTGGCATGGGCTTGACAATGTCCCACTTGTGCTGGTGACCATAGACCTCCATCAGTCTCTGCATGTCCTGGCATCTGTAGGCTGGATGGGGAATGAAGCAATGGCTGCAGGGACCAAAGACTCCCTAACAAACCCCATCCACATCCTCCATGCTTCATCTGACCCTCAGCCTCTCAGATCTCTCTTCTCCCTTTGCTCTCCTCTCTAGAAACCTCGTTATGAAATCCGCTGGAAGGTGATCGAGTCAGTCAGCTCTGATGGGCATGAGTACATCTACGTGGATCCCATGCAGCTCCCTTATGACTCCAGCTGGGAGGTGCCCAGGGACAAGCTGGTGTTAGGTAAAGGCTCTGCAGGTCCCACTGATGGATCTCTAGGGTGTTGGCTGTCTTGGGGTGAGAGGCTCGGGGTGATAGGCTTGGGGTTTGGATCTCCAAAAGAGACCAACACAGAAAAAGATTGCTGGAGATAGGATGTGGTCCTTGGACAGGGTGACCATCTGGGACCACAGTGAGACATCAGCTGCCCCCTTTTGGCATCAAAACCAGGATTCTTCCTGGCTATCCATTCTTGCAGCTGGTAGCTCCTTCCCTTCCCAGCCAGATGGAAACCAGCCCCAGCACCAAGCATCACAGCTCACAACCACCTCCATGCCCACCAGGATGACTGCAGCAAGGCTGGTGTGGTTTGTGACAGGGCACTTGTCTTTTCAAGCTCCTTTCCTCACCTCTCCTCAAGGACTGTCACCAACTTTGCCTCCTTGCTGTTTCTTTGCAGGACGCACTCTGGGCTCCGGTGCCTTTGGGCGCGTGGTGGAGGCAACAGCCCATGGCCTGAGTCACTCACAGTCCGCCATGAAAGTGGCAGTCAAAATGCTCAAGTGTGAGTTGTCCCCACACCGTCCCTTTTCCCCATCCAAAAGTCACCAGGCCAAGCAGTGCACAGCCCTCCTCGCTGTGCCATTCACACCAGCTCTCCCCAACAGCCACCGCCCGGAGCAGCGAGAAGCAAGCCCTCATGTCTGAGCTGAAGATCATGAGCCACCTGGGACCTCACCTCAACATCGTCAACTTGCTGGGGGCCTGCACCAAAGGAGGTATCTCCACCCTGGGCATCTTGTCTCCTCTCCCTGCGGCCCTGGAGAGAATTTCTCTCTGAGAACTGTCCTCAGAGAGAATAATTCCTGGGTTTTGGTTCAGAACGATCCACCCATCCTCCAGAAGAGCCTTGTGGGGCTCCGAAAGCTTCTTTCTGACCCCACTGAAATGGTGGGGGCATGCTTCTGTTAACGCAGTGCTCTCTGCCCCCAGGGCCCATCTACATCATCACGGAGTACTGCCGCTACGGGGACCTGGTGGACTACCTGCACCGCAACAAGCACACCTTCCTGCAGTCCTGCGGAGAGAAGGCCCGCCGGGAGGCAGAGCTCTACGGCAACACCCCCAAGGACGACCACGGCCAGAGGTGCCTGGAGAGCAGCACTCTCCTCCTCCCCAGTGCCAACCCTGTCCTGGCTCCCCTCAATGAGGGAAGCTTGTCCTGCCAGGAAGGACGCCTACATTTCATCCACAGCAGTTAAATGAACGCTGGACCAGCACTGGGACGCAGCTGGCTGCTCTCTTATCTTGTAAGACCAGCCCATGTGTCAACCAGCCACCTCCAGACAGCTCCTGGCAGATGAGGGGTTAGCAGAGGCAATCGTGTGCTTTGCTAGAGCACACGTCAGCCGCTCCATGCCAGCTGGGAATATTCCCTGTCATCTTTAACTTTGTTGGCATAACCATGGCTACGCCTTGAGTACAGAGATGAAGGGTTTCCCAGCATGTCTCAACCCTCAGAGACTTCAGCTCTGCATTTCGAGGGCAGCTTGCATTGCTACCGAGCCTAAGGGAGAAGTGCTGGGAGGAGGAGTGTGGTTGCACAAGAGGTGCTGCACGGAGAGGGAAACAGTCCTTTATGTGGCTGCCAGCTGAAAGGGATGCAGGCACATCAGCGCAGAGAAACGTTCCCATGGGAAGTTAGAAAGCAACATTTCCTCCCAGCACGCCAAAACAATAGTGAAACAGAGCAGTGGTAGGCCATGAGCACAGCTGCCCCTGTGCTTTCTGCCTGAAGGCAGCTCAGATCCTCCTAAGCACAGTTTCCCAAGCTTGTGGGGAGGTGCTCCACAGCTCTGGCCATGCAGCAGCTTTTCCCTGCCCAGCACCAGCATGTGGAAGGCCTCAGGATGCTGCTTCCTGGGTGCAATTGTTGCTCACTCAAGGGAGAGGTGCTCAAGGGTGCAGACATTTGCTGATCCAAATTGTTTAACTGTAGACAAAGGGTTTTGTGCTGTCCTCTCAGTCTTCTCTTCTGGCCAGCCTGGAAACGTGCACAGCCAAGGGGAAGGTTTTTGCCTGCCCACTCTGGCTTGGGACCAATGCTTCCCTGCCCTGTGGGTGCCTGTGGAGCTGCATGTCCTTGGCTCACCTCCCTGCCCTCCTTGTGCCAAGCTCATGTGTTGTGCCAAGCTCGTGTGTTGAGCCAAGCCGGTGCTTTGCCAGGCAAGGTGACCATGAGAAGTTTCAGTTTGCAGGCAAGGAGACCTGGAGACCCACAGAGGAATATAGCGGGGCTGTTTAAAGCTAGTGCTGAGGACCCCTGAGCTGTTGGGTGGTGGATGGAGGGCTCTCTCCCTCCTGTGTGGGACATTTCAGTGCTGGGGCTGAGGGTTCAGGAATTGCGGCTCCACAAGTTATTGCCCCCATCCCCTGCATCTCTCCCTCTCCTCTGGATCTGAACAGCCTCTTTGCTTCTCCCCACAGTCACCTCTCGTTGTCAGTGGAGAGCGACGGGGGCTACATGGACATGAGTAAGGACGACTCCCTGGACTACGTGCCCATGTCTGACATGAAGGGTGAGGTCAAGTACGCTGACATCGACTCCTCCAACTACGGGACCCCTTACGAGCTGGACAGCTATTCCCCAGCAGGTAACAGCTCAGCCACAGCAGGAGGGAGGGCTGCTTGCACTTCCAGTGCTGGATGCCTTTGCTTGCAGAGATGGATGGTCCATATTGCAAAGGTCACCTTTGGGATGAGTTCAGCAGTGGTGGCACATGGCTTTGTGATGGGAGCTTTGAGCTCTGTCCTTTTGTTGCTGGAGGGAAAGCAGACCTCAGTGGGTCCTTCTGCTGGTGGGCAGCCCAGGAGCGTGCTGAGCAACACCAACATCCATCTTTGCTTGCCCTCCAGCTCCTGAAAGAACAGACCGGGTGACGCTGATAAACGAGTCTCCACTCCTCAGCTACATGGACCTGGTGGGCTTCAGCTTCCAAGTGGCCAATGGGATGGAGTTCCTGGCTTCCAAAAATGTATGTATGCCAGTGGTGGAGGCCAACAATGATCTGCCATGTCCCGTAGTCAGCTTCTGCTGGCTGTCCCTCTGTCCATGCCAACCTCTTCATGGGAGAAGTGGCTGTGCAATTGAAGAGCTGCTGACCACTTCTCTTTGGAAACACAGCCTGGGGGATCAGCATGACTATATTTGCATGTGACAGCTAACCCTGGCTTAGATAGAGCTTCAGACCTCAAATTCCCTGCCACTGAGCTCCTCCCAAGCCATGTGCAGCACAGCTGTGGTGTTACATCAGCCTTATCTACCGGGATCACCAAACAGTGACAACCTCCCCGTGCTAAAGCACAAGGCATTCCACAGCAGAGCTGCCACTCTCCACAGACACCCCTATTTCAGCTCATGCCCTGAGCCCCTCAAGCCTCATAAGAAGTGCTTGTTCAGTGGAAATTAAGCCACCATCGAGGACGAGGCGCTGGGATTTCCTAAGGTCTGGCTTAGCCCAGGGCAGACAGTGATACAGCTGGACTGTGTGAAACATCACACAGAGCAGGGCTAAGACAAGGGGTAGGGATGGCATCAGTGATGTGCAGAGAAAAATTCCTGGCTCTCTGCCTCCAGCCAGACAAAAGTACATGGTCAGCGCTCCCCCACGGAGTACAGAAGAGAAGGTCCCAGCTTCCCACAGCTTCCTACAGTCATGCTTTACAGTGATGTAATACCACCATGCTTGCTAGCAGTGTTTGGCAGGGTCTTGAGCAAACCTTGAAGCTGTTCACATGGAAAACATCCAACATGCTGGTAAACCAGGAAGCAGAAGCTAGGCTGGTGTAACTCTGAAGTCTTCAGACTGCTAGGCTGGATTGTCCAAAGAGAGATGGAGACATCCCCTCCTTGCCAGCCCACCAGCCCCCTTGCTTGGTCAGGCCCTGGCAATCCCCTTCCTGCTGGGTTGTTCAATTTGCCCTGGCCAGATTTGTACACCTGTTGCTGTCACAGGTGTAGCAGACCAGGAGAGCAGTGAAAATGTGGTAGTTCTGCTCACAGTTTTGAGCCATGGTTGTCCCTAGAGGTGGAAGAGATCCCTCAAATGGTGTGAGGTGACTCCTGCCCCCGCAGCCCTAGATATGGGCTAGTGCTGGAGCTGGGCTGCTTCCTTGGGGTGTTGGGGGGCCCCTCACAGTGACAGTGCCCTGTCTACCCACTACAGTGTGTGCACCGTGACCTTGCTGCCAGGAATGTCCTCATCTGTGAGGGGAAGCTGGTGAAGATCTGTGACTTTGGCCTCGCGAGGGACATCATGAGGGACTCCAACTATATCTCCAAAGGCAGTGTAAGTACCAGGAGCCATGTAAGCCCCTTCTTCCCAGGGGTGAGTCACCTGCCCATCCTTGTGCCCAGGGGTGGTGACAGGGCAGGATGCCCAGGAGATGGTGTCAACAGCCAACCACCCTGCACCTGATGCCTGCTGCAGGCTGTGTAGCAGCAGAACTGCACACCCGTATCTCGAGGCTCTTACAGAGGAACCTGGGCAGCAGCAGCAAAACTAAGGATTGTCCCCTGCACAGGCCATCACTGGCAGCAGTGCTGCATCCCTTCCCTGCACAGCACTGAGTCTGGTCCTGAGCTCCAGGCAGGAGGAGTGCAAGGTTAGGCAGGCTGACAGTTCTCCAGAGCTTCACTGGCCACTTTGGGAAGACGTCCACAGACTTCTGCTCAATTCACTAGACCACAGGGTATGAGGAAGTGTATTCCTGTGAGCAGCTACTTTCCAGAAAGACATCTCTAATCTTTCAAGGCAGGAGAAGAGGAGGCTGGGATTGAGCTTCCCCAACAGCACCCCTGTGACTTCAGCAACAGCATGTCCACTCCAGCCCTGGGGCATTTGGGATTGTGCAACCCCAAGCAAAGCAGGTCGTGCAATTCCCAGAGAAACTGAGGCTGAGGGAGCTGAGAGTGGAGCCAGGCCCCTCAGACCCCAATATTTATCTGCTCTATGAACTACTTAACTTCTCTCATGCTTTGTCCCACTTGCGTGGGGTGGCAGACTCAGTGCCTGGGCAGGGAGACCCTCCTGCAGGAGTGTTGGGGTTTCCAGCCCAGCCTTGGCGTAGCTGCTTTTCCTTCCAAAACAGGAAATGAAACTGGGCCCCTCTGCAATCCTTCCTGGTGATTATTTTGGTATTCGTTGTGCAAGCGAATCCCAGGAACAGCATGGCCAGTGCTGTGTGCAAGCTGGCCAAGTCAGGCTCCTGCATCCCTCTGAGCGAGTAAGAGCAGCAAAAAGCTGGATGTGTCCCTGGACTCTTTTCTGGTCATCCCATAGCCCTCTCCAGCCTGGTCTCAGGTTTCTAAAGTCTAGAGAGGCCTGGACTCCCTTCAGGAGAGCTGTGGTGTTGTTGTACAGGTCAGTGGACTGCTAAGAGACCAGGGACTAGGGCACAGAGAGGGCACACCACGACAGCTCATCACGGCAGACAACGATGGAAACGGATGCAGCACATCCAGTCTTTCCCCCTGCCTGCTGGGTTCATCCAGCAAGAGGAAAGAGGAAACTTGTTCCTCTGAGAAGCGTCTGACAGCAAATGTCAGCAGATGTGCTGAGCTGACAGGCAGCTCTGAAAGGCCTTCTCTGCTTCTAAATTGGGTGTCAGGCTCTCCCCTGTTGAAACAAGTGCTGCAGAAGCAGCTGACTTTCTTTTTGTTCCATTTTTTTCCTCTTAGACCTTCTTGCCCCTTAAGTGGATGGCTCCAGAAAGCATCTTCAACAACCTCTACACCACCCTGAGCGACGTGTGGTCCTTCGGGATTCTCCTCTGGGAAATATTCACCTTGGGTAAGTGCCTTGGGGATCGTGGTGGTGTCTGTAGGTGTGACAGCATGTTAGCAGGTCCCCTTCCCAGAGACAATAGACATCCACTTCTAATCCCCAAATCCAAACCTGACTGGTCAGAGTAGCATTTCAGCCCCTGTCTCCTTCTTTCCCATGCTGACATTGCCATTTGGAAGTGAAATGAAACAGGAGAGGTAACAGAGAATGGAAACTCGGGTGTGGGATGCCTGTTGGCATGGGGGTGGCAGGCAATCCACCAGCCTGATTTCCTGCTCTCCCTTTACACCCAGGGGGGACCCCGTACCCCGAACTGCCCATGAATGAGCAGTTCTACAACGCCATCAAACGTGGCTATCGGATGTCCAAACCCACCCACGCCTCTGATGAAATGTAAGTGCTGCCCATATACACTGGGGCCTGTCCTACACGAACTGAGGAATCATTTCTGCCTCTGTTTTCCCTGTTTTCCCCACCTGCTAACTCACCAGAGTGCTCTCTGTCCCCTCCTGTTAGCTATGATATCATGCAGAAGTGCTGGGAGGAGAAGTTTGAGATCAGACCATCCTTCTCACAGCTGGTGGTGCTGATGGGAAACCTCCTGGTGGATTGCTACAGAAAGGTATGTTCCAAGGAGCCTGTGCTGGAGGGATAGAAGAGGGTCAGTGCTCACTGGAGGATGCTGCCTTGGTTAGGGACCTCAATCAGGGTTTGGAGCATTTAGTGCTGCTGTGCCAGAGGATTTTGCTGTGGCTAAAGCTGCCTTAGCTTGAACAGACAAAGAAGGTGGTTTGGCCATCCTGGGGACATTGCTGGGACAATTGGCATTGCCAGAGAAGCAGCTGATATCTCAGCAACTGCAGACATGAGAACTGGTAGGAGATCAAAAATCTACCTCCAACTCTTTGGTATTTTGGAGCTGTGGAGTTGTGCCCTGATCTCTCCCTTAGGAAATGTGCATGACCTGTCTTTAGTGGAGTCTGAGTAGCTGAGCCCAGCTAGGTGTCAGCCCCTCTAGAAAAAGCCTAGCAGACAGGGAAAGCAAATACACGACAAGTGCATTTCCTCCACTCACAAGACCTCCCCATTTCTTTGGTAACCTGCCCTGTGAGAGCAGAGGTACCAGCAGGTGGATGAAGAGTTCATGAAGAGTGACCACCCTGCTGTGGTCCGCACAAGACCCACCATCCCTGGGCTGAACAACGCCAGGCTGGCTGCCAGCTCCCCCACGGGCAGCATCCTCTACACAGCCGTGCACCAGAACGGGGGCGAGAACGATTATATCATCCCTCTTCCCGACCCCAAACCTGAGGCAAGCTGTGATCTCCCCCAGGAGGCCTCCATCAGCCGGGCCAGGTAAAAACATTGCTTCTGAAGGTCATCCCTTCCCCTGACTGCCCAGAACAGGGGCCTCCAGAGGAAATGGGGATGCTCTGCTGAGGGATAGACTAAGGGTGGGTTTACTGGGAGAGGAGAAGGGCAGTGTTACCTCCATAGGAGGTTCTGTGACCTTGCAGGAGCCTGTGGGGATGGAGATGAACCAGAGGAGGTGGGACATGAGCTAAGATAGGGTGCCATGGTACATCCCTGTACACCAGCCAGCACAGCTGGGGACCAGCCATGCCACTCACAAGGAGCAGGGCACACAGAAACCCATGCTCTGCAGAACCCAGCCAGCTCCATGTTGTGTTTGAGGGGTGAATAGACCCAACCAATATTATCTGTTCCCCTGTGGAAAGGCACTCAGATAAAGTGGGGCTGCTGGGAGCTTGACTGTTGGGAATCCTCTCCCACCAGGAGTCTTGGGATAAGGCACTCATTTCTCTCTCCCTCTTGTCTCCTTTCAGCTCTGTGCTGAACGAGGCAAACACGTCGTCCACGATATCCTGTGACAGCCCCCTGGGCCTCCGGCAGGACGAGGAGCAGGACCCCGACCCGCAGCCAGCCTGCCAGGAGCCCACCACAGGGCACCAAGAGGTGGAAGAGAGTTTCCTGTAGGTAGAGCTGGGCTGACTCTGCGTCTCCCTACGGAGAGGCCAGCTGAGGGGCTGACCCAGACCTCACAGAGAGCCATGCCTTGTGCTTGTACCTCAGCACAGCCCCACCTGTCCCAGCACCCCTCCTTCCCTCCTGACTCCCAGCGTTAGGCTGGGAATGAAAGACTTTTCCCCATTATCATCCCCTTCCCCTTACAAGGAGGTGGCTCAGTGCCAGCAACCTTCCAGATCACTGCCACATCCTCCTCAGTGATCGAACCACTGCAGGAGGCAGACATCTCACAAACCAACATCTTCTTTTCAAGTGGAAGACGTGGGTTGGATCTCCACGAGAGAGACCACTTTACATTGCTAAGATGATACTCCAGCCTCTTCCCCCTCCATGGCAATGAGTTTCATCTCTTCTGCACCAGCACTTCTCTGATGGTCTCGCCACCAGCCACACCATGGTTCTGTGAAATGCCACCGGGACAGATGATTTGCTTGGAGCCGATTGCTGGCGTGTAGAGAACCTGCAACACCAACCTTCAGCTGCTGGAGGACAAGAGTATATTGGGTAGATTCTCCTCCAAGCACAGCAAAGTCCTGGAGACATCAGCCAGTGCCTCAGAGATACTGAATCACCATTTTCCTTTCTTGACAGCTCTTCTGTGGTGGATAGAGCGTCAGAAGCACTACAGGTACTCATGGCTCTGGAGTACAGCTCTGCACCCACCTAAAGGGGCTATTACACCCTGAACCCCTTTTGTGCTCAGTATGGCACCAGGAGCCCCAAGGTTATGCCAGGAACTCAAAATGCTCTCACAATGACTGTTGTAGTAGCAAAGAGTCCAGTGTTGTTCTCGTAGTCTTTGTGGACACTAAGCTAATTATTTGCCATTGAAAATTTAAAGGGAACAAATATATTAATCCACTAGCCAGGGCCAGTATAAGGAAGCAATATGGCTATTCATTAATCTACTGCCACTAAGCCCAGCCCATCTGCTGGGATATCATGTAACCCCACCAGCTGCAAACTCTCTGTGCTTATCTTGGGGAAGCAAGGGCTCCCTTTTGATAGACTCTTCACCCAAACACGCTTTCTCAGGATGAGAGGTCTCACTGCTCCCTCCTGAGTCATAGCGAGACCATGGGGAGCAAGAAGGATGCCAGAACACCAACCCAGGGACATCTCCAAAGAGAGAGAGGGAGAAAGGCTGGGAAGATGTTTGGTTATAGCTGAACTGTATCTCACACCCTACCAGTTTCTGGGGATCCACTCACAGTCTGCCAGGGCTGGGGACGAGGTGTCACGGGGAACCAAGCAGAGCAAGAGGAATAGGGGAGGATTCCTCCCTCTTGGAAAGTGTTCTGAAGAATAAAAGGGCAGAGACCTTCTTCCTCCTTCCCACAGGCAGGCCTGGGACTTGTTGTGCTCTTGGCTGGTGCCTGAATGAGGAGACTCAAAGCAGAAGGAACACCAGGCTTTTGAAATCGCTTGTGAACCTCTGCGGAGATGAAAGCTAGAGCCTAGAAACTGCAGGTCTGACACCATAGAAACTAGCAGGGTGTTTGTCTGAAAGGAAGGTTTTGCCTTGCACAGAGCTCTGTTTGCTGCATGCTCCCCACTTCCATTAACCCCTTCATTGCCCTACTCATGCATAGCTCTCTCTACAAAAACTGCAGAGGCAGGTTTACCAATTCAGAAATTCAGTCAGCATCTTGCTGGGCTTCCGCCACCTCAGAGGCACTAAGAATATTTACTTTTTTTTCATAATATTAAACTTCTGCCAGAAATCCCCAGCAAAACAGCTTCTGTTTTAAGTTGTCTGTCATTGCAAGGCTGCCACTTAGACAGCTAAAAGAGGAGTAGGTGTTTTGTGGGCTGATGTCCTTGGTAAAATGTGAACATAAGAAATAGCACTTTTCTTGGCAGCCAGTGGAGTATATTTTCAGCTCATGTGGTCAGATTCCCCACCATCCATAGGAAACACTGTGAATGACAACTGTTTTTCCATGCTCTGTTCCTCCTGCTTCTAATGAAGGAGCCTTCTTCTGTGGCCACAGTTCATGAAATGATCCTAACCCTGGAGGAGCAGTAACTTATGAGATCCCTGGGGTCAGACCACTTTATTTCTCTAACATGCAAGGTGCTTGGTAGGATCCGTGTCACTGTGACTCGAGCCCACGGGATGGCACATCAGATCATCCTCATAGGCCCTGTCTGCACCAGCTCAATTGCCAGTTTGTCCTTCTCTGTTGAAGTTAACCAGAAGAAGCCAGTACTCCAGATGAGGTCAAATCTAGACCTTGCATAGGGCATTAATAGTTCTGGTCTGTACTGGATTTGTCTTGCTTGGTGTAGCTTTGGGTAATGTTGGCCTCCTCCTGGCCAGAGCACACTGGTACTTTGGAGTCATCCTCTGACCTCTGCTCTTCCAGCATTTCTAACCAAGATACTCCCTGCTCTTCCAGACATTGGGTCATCAGCACATTTTGTTAACAAACTGGTATTTTGGGGCTGGACTGACTAATGAAAGTATTAAAAACTTCTAGCATCAAGAGCAATCCTAGAGAACTACTTTTACTACCTCTGTCCAGCCCAAAGATTTTCCCATCAATTAACCCCTTCTCACCCTTTGAACATTTGCCTGTTTACTTCACAAATCCCATATTACACTCCAGCTTACCATGGAACCATAGAATGGTTTGGGTTGGAAGGGATCTTAAAGATGATCTTGTTCCAACCCCCCTGTATCAATCAATTACTAATTGAATTACTAATTTCTCACTGTCAAATCATTCCCATAGTTGTGAAAGAGGAGATCTATTTCTTCTCCCTGCTGGGGGAACTCAGGTATCCCGTCCTATTAGCTGGGCATTGGCTACACTTGGGTGCCTACTGCATTTTGTCCCTTTTGTAGATTTATTGCAATTATTCTTTGCATCAAAACCTGTTCTGGCTGCTGATGGGGCACTAACCTCACCTCCCTCTTCCTTCCTAAAGTAGGTACTCCAGACTCTTTGCAAAATGGTACTGTTCCCCACTCCAGAGAGGTATGACCAAATATTTGCCTTTGGCCCTATGCTTGCAAGGGCCAAGTCTTGCACTTTGTGGTACTTCCCTGTTCCTTACCCAGCTATTCCCATCACCATTTAGTGAGGACATGTTCACCCACTGCAGCCAGATCTTCCCAGCCAGGGACAGGCTGGCAGCTGGGCAAAGCCACCATGCTTTGCTAAACATCCCTGCAGCAGAGGGGGCTTGGTGGGGCTGAGGCTCATCGCAGCCCCACAGACAAGCTCTCTCAACTCAAGGACCCAGCTCCAGCCTCTTGCTCCCTCTCTCTCTGCTCCTGACATTCCAGTCCCTGCATGGCCCAGTGGGTGAGGGCCAGGAGAAATGGTTGGTTGTTCTGGATCCATCATAATGTCTTCAGTGAGACTCTGAAGGGAACTGCTCCCTCCACGTTTTTAGTTTTGATGATCATTACTTCTGTTTGGGTGTGTTTTTGTGTTTAGAGGTGGATCCAAACTGAGTCCCCCAAAAAGGGACGCACGCCACAGTTTGGCCCCATCTCTAGTGCAATATCTTTTATCTGTAGATTATATTTTACCTTACAGCCATTACAACGTTATCAGCACGCATATACTTATGCATAATCCTACTGCCAGCCACTATTTCATACAAACTCAGCATATCCCCAAAACTATGTGACACTCGGGTGTCTCTTTTCACATTTAAGATGCTTCTCAGACTGATGTGTGCACAGGTTTTAACCCTTTTGTCCTTCTGGGTTTGAGCGAGTTGTTGTTTTTTTCAGTGAGAGTGTCACGTTTAGTGTTTGTTTGTGTTGTGTTAAGAAATCTAGAGCACAGTGGACTTTACTTCTAACTAAATTGTCTCTGTTCACCTGCCAAGGGGACCGTGGCACAGTCCCGTGGGGATGGGAGGCAGAAGTGCCGTGCAGATGTGCAACCAGGAGGAAGTCAGCCAGAAGTGGGAAACAGCTCTTCCCCTTCTTCCCAGTCAGGGCTCTGGGCTGGGGGAAAGGCAGAGCCACAGATACAGGGTACTGGGCAGCGGGTTAGGTTTTGGCTGTGGGGAAGCCCAGGGTCTGCCTGTGTAAAGCTGGGCAGACCTGGAGAAGGGGATTTCACAGATGTCTCCTTCTGGGGGGCTTTTTTCAGCTAAGGTGCTTCTGAGGCAAACACCAAGCTCCGACACTCAGGCACAAGGAAGGGGTCTGCTCAGGCTCAGTGCTTAGCTCAGGTCCCAGGGCTGGTGTGGCCAGTTCACAGTGCAAACCACAGGGTCTCCCACGGGCAGGAGAGCCGTGGGCTGCCACACCAGCCCCACGGAGCCTGGACGCAGCCTTGCTGCACTCCCACTTGGAGAGCATGAAGGTTGCCCTTCAGCAGCCCTCTGCAGCCTTTGCCCCGGGTGGTTGCACAGGCAGAGAGCAGCCAGAGCAGCTGCAGGTGCTCAGAGGGTGCTGGGCACCTTCTGGGCTGTGCACAGGTCCTTTCTGCAGCAGAGCCCAGCCCTGCCTGGGTGCTGAGCAGCCAGTGCTGACTCGGATGCTGTCTGCAGGACTTGCCCGGGGCAGGGCAGGTATTGTTAAAAATTCAGATTTCATGGGTAAGCACATGGGTTGCTGGGCTTTCAGCATATTCCCATTTCACCCCATGGACTGAAGTCTCTGGGACATGCCTAGATGGATCCAGCTGGCTTTGGCAAAGGCAGGGGAACTGCTCCAGTGTAGGTCCAGCAGCACGTTGGAGAGATGACTCTCGCAGGGGTGGGAGGAGGCAGGGCAGCTAACCCATGCTGAGAGGCCTGCAGCAGCCCATTGTTCCTGTCCTTTCCTCCATGGATTGCACCAGCACTGCAAAGCTTGCCCAAAGCTTGCCCAGTGCCTTCTCCCACTCCTGCTGGGCTGGCTGGCTGGCAGCACAGTTACTCTGCAGCACCTCGGAACAGAAGCAGCACGTGCCTCCATCCTGTCTGTCAGAAACCAT